TTTAACTTATTTAAGATAAAAAAATTAGAAAGATTCGGTTCTTATTTGGTTTTTCGTCTAGAATCGAGAACCAAACTAAACTCGTCGATTTTCGATTCAAATACCCGTTCGAATATTTAATTTAAGAATAACCGCTTGGTTCGGTTCATGTCCGATTCGATTCGGTTCAGAAGTTTTGTCCAACCCTAATTATCACATTCATCCATTTCAAAAAATTTCAAAAACTGTTTTTTAAATAACTGTCCAATTTTTGCCACATCAAACACGTTAATCGCCACTGTCCACTTAAATTGAAATGGAGGAGATGATCTTTGTAATTGAAGGTATCAAAAATGGGTTATATTCTTGGCATTATGTTCGACGGTAGGAAAGAATGTCTTTCGCTGTTCAATTTGAGGTAATATTTGGTGTTTGTACACTTATCTTGACCGTTAAATTAGATTACTTGTTATGGATTTTGATGACTTATAACTTAATTATGTATATATTTTGTTTGTCTGGAGAAACTCAGTGCAAAATGGTGTAATTGGACAAAATGAGCGAAAAAGGCTAAAATTGAAGAAATCCAAAGTTCGGAGATCAAAATGCAAATATCTAATAGTTGTTTCGTACCACAAAATGATGGTTGGAGATGAAATATATTCAATTTGATGTAATTAGAAGTCAAATGAGTTATAAATATAGTCAACGTATTTTCACAAATTAATTTTTAACCACACAATTTACCAAATTCTAAGTCACGATTACAAATTTAGTCACAATCACATATTCTTCTAGGTCATATATTATTTACTAGTCATAAATTAACAATTTATTGGTCACAACACCAAAATAATTGATCATAAACACTCTTTCCACCACCACCATGAGTATCACCACTTCAAGAACCACCACCACTTCACCGTATCACCACATCACCAACAAAACCACCACAGCACCACTGCACAACTCACCACCACACCCACACCACCGCACAACCACAATGCACCATCGCACCCACATTACACCACTACCGCACTGCACAAAAAACCATCTGCCACCACACCCCACGACTTTGTCGGCCATGGAACAAATTAATATTAGAAAAAAGAAGATCTGTGAAGAAGGAGTGCCCTCGCCAAATGAACGACGGAGGAAGAGCGCCATCCTAGTCATATCGTCGCCACATCCCCATTACAATCGAGTGGCGCCGCAACGTCACAAGCATTTTTCCCACAAGCGATAGTCACAGTCCGCTTTACCCGATTGTAGAGCACAAAGCTGCGCCGTCGGAACGTCGAAGAAGAGTAGAGAAGGTGGGGAGGGAAGAGTAAAAGGAGAGTGAGTGGGAGAATAGATTATGGGTAGTGCTAGGCTTACAGGGAATTTCAGCCAGAAAGTCACCAGATTGAGTTGGCAGCAACTATTCCTCCCTTAGAATGTCTGTATTGCCCTTAATGAAATATTTTGCAGGTTAAGTCCTGTATCTTTTTGATTTGTTCGGGGTTATGTCTTATAATTTTTCCAATATCTTCTCTTTCTCCTTAATTCATTAATCAGGATTAATATGTAAATTTTTTAATTTTTTAAATTGTTCTAAATATTCTCTGTAT